TTCCCATGTGGAAAATAGATTCACTTTCCCCAACATCTCCAAAAAAACCTTCTTAATCATTACAGCATCAATTCTAAGTTCAAAATTTCATCTAAACATCAACTCAAGATCTCAAAGCTTACCATATAAATCATCCTTATCAGTGATAAGTGAGACTTGGGAGAATGCTTCAGCCTGGATCAAAATTCCTCTCCATCCATGAGTCTGTGAAACCAGAGAAAAAGTTACATGCTGACAAAATACAATGATGGAGCATGATAGACATTACCATTCTAAAGGGAGAAATTGGAAGGCGAAAGGGAGCCACAGGTCCCAAGCAAGTTCAAAACCTAGGAGGGGAAATTCCATTAGGTTTTAAGGCTTGAGAAAAAAATTCTGTGTCTGGATACTCTGTTCTCTGGGCTGACCTTCCAGGCCCACCAAGCTGATGACCCCAACTCCAGGGCCTAATTGGTGACCCCGCCCTCTGTATTGAAAGAAAGAAGGAACTACTGGGCCTGGGGTTGCAGCATCGGTCTCTCCAGCTTCTGAATCAGAGTTATTCTTCCTTTTTTTTTTTTGGATAACATGTTTGCAGACAAATAATTCTATAATCTGGTTTACTCCCTAGAGTTCCAGAAACCCAACAGCTTTTCCTTCATTTCAACCCATCTTGCTCATCCTTGGTTTAGGTCAGCAGTGTTCCTACTGAAAGTGGTTGATTGGATTCACAAGCCAGAATCTTGGTGTTACCTTTCAAACATGTTTTTTGCAATATGAATAGGCTGAGAATTTTTCAAATATTCAAATTCTAGTTTCTTGCTTGCTAAACAATTCCTTCTTTATTCTTTTACTATATGTAGCAAGGAGAAAGCAAATCATGACTTTAAGATTTTACTTAGATACATCCTCAGCTCAGGATCTGAGTTCATTGCTTAAAAGGTCTGTTTACTACTTAACAGAGCACAATTCAGCCATTTTATAAAAGAGACCTCTTCTCCTAGTTCCAGCAATTTGTTCCTCATCCCCATCTTAAACACCGAAAGCATCTTTATTGCTATTTCTAATAGCATTTTGTTCATAACAATATGTCTCTTTTTGAAAAAGATGAAAGCTTTCTCTACAGCCCTTTTCTTTCCTTTCTGAGCCCTCACCAGAATTTCCTCTAATATCTATACTTCTACTAGCAGTCTAGGTGTTTTCTATTGAACATTTCAAAACTCTTCCAGCCTCTAACCATTGTTCGATTCCAAAGTCACCTCTGCATCTTCAAGTATTTGAAGCAGCATCCCTTTTCTAGTAGCCAAATCTGTATTCCTTTCCTAGAAATAGCATAACACAGTACCATGAACTATACGGCATAGACAATGCAAATTTATTGTCTCACAGTTTGAGGTCTAAAAGTCAAAGACCAAGATGTATAGTCTTTCTGAGAGATCTGAAGGAGAATTTTTCCCTACCCTTCTTGTGCCTGTGGTGGCTTTTGGGGTCTGTGGCATTCCTTGGCTTATTCATATATCACTTCAGTTTTTGCCCTTATTGTCAGGTGGCATTCTTCCTATGTTTTCCTAAAGAATGTTTTCACCAAACTTCCTTGTTTTTGTAAGAATACCAGTCACATTGGATTAGAGCCTACCTTAATGATTTTATTTTAGTTGGATTATCTCTGCAAATACTCCATTTCCAGATAAGGTTACATCCAGAGGGACTCTGAGGGTTCAGTTTTCAATATATCTTTTTGGAGAGTACACCATTCAATTCGTTACTCTCATTAATAAATTCTAAGCAAGTCTTAGAAGTAACTCAAGATTTTCAATCATAGGTTAAAATTATTTCTGACTAAAGAAGACATGGACTTGGATTGGTATATTTCATTGATTTAGTATTTATTGACTACCACTATGTGCCAGACATTCTCTAGCATCATTGAGTTCTTGAACTTGGGTGAGAAACAATTTTTATCTGTATTTTCATTATTCTCAAATTGAAGACTAACATTTTTCCCAATATGAATGTTTGTAATAAACTATAACAGTGTTATTAGGACCTGTAATTTTATTACATAGATTTTTTCCATATTTGTTATCCCAAATCTTTTCATATCATACAACTGTTCTATCAGATACTTCAGAATATGCTAGCTGAGCTTCACTACCTTGGAACTGCAAGTAATTACATATTCCACTAGAACTTAAGTACTTCAAAGTGTTGGGGGAGAGAGGTACCTATGTTATTTATGTACATATATCATATGTATAGGTACATATATTACTATATAAGAATTTCAAAGTAAGTTACATAACTGTATATAATTCTATAAAAGACTGGATACTGAATATATTTCTTTGAAAAGAATCTGGATAATTTTAATATAATTTGCACAGTCTATGTATTTTGTTTTACTCATTTAAGTTTATTCTTGAGGAGGGACCTTAGGATTCCCTACATTTCTGTTCATTATACAAAAAAAAATGATTCTACAACAATGTTCTTGATGTTAGAGATAAAGTAGTGAACAGTTAAAATAAGGTCTTGTGTAAATAAGGAATTTACATTAGGGGATAAGGAAAGAGGAAGGTAATAAGTAACAAACATATGAAAATAATCAGCAGGATTTCAGGTAGTCATCAGGGCTGAATATGTAAATCTTGTGTATATGGAAAGTGATAAAAAAATGGCCAAGTTGGGAGAAATGGCTGACAATGAAGAACCAGACATAGAACAGATATGGTGGAGAGCCTCCAGCAAAGGGAAAAGACAGTGTAAGACTGAGGTGGGGCAAACCTGGTGGGATCTTGGAAAAACCAGAAGGCTGGAATGGCTGAAGTTAAGTAGGGGGAAAGGCAGGTCATTTTAAATGAGGAGAGAAGGAAAAATGAGAGAACTGTTTCTGTGGAGAACATGAACTAGGGTAAAAGGTTCAATTTTATTCTAATTACAATTCAAATCCATTCAAGACTTTAAAAAAATACTGTAGTAAAATATATATAACATAAAATATATGACCATAATCATTTTGTGTATGCAGCTCAGAGACATTAAATACATTTGCCTTGTTGTGCTACCACCATCACCATTCATCCACAAATACTTTTCATCTTAAAAACTAAAGCTCTGTGCCCATTAAATAATAACCACACATTTCCCCTTCCCCTAGCATTGGAGGTTTTAAAGCAGGGCAGTGACAAGATGTGTTTTACATTTTAAAGATATGACTTCAATTTTAAAATATGAGGAAATGTTGCTAAGCAAGAATAGAAGCACTAATAGGGAACCAGTGAGGAAATGTTGAAGAAGAGAGGTAATAGTGGATGAGGTATGGTGTTAGTAGAGGATGGATCTGAAATGGATTTGGACAGTAAGTCAGACATGATAGAAAGACACATTGAACTAGGTACGGGGAGCACTCATATTCTCCTTCAGACAGGTGAGTCTGAATTGTCTCTTTGACATCCAGGTGGAGATGTTAAACTGTTGGGTATACAAATCCACAGCACAGGAGAAAGGCCAGCATATATGAGAGTCATGGATGGTATCTAAAACTATGGGAGTGGATGAGATAATCAGAATAGTTCATTTAGTTGAAGAGGAGGCCCAAAAATATCCCTTGGGCATTCTTTTCTTTTAGAGGTCAAGTAGGAGGAAGAGGACCCTATGCATGGTTTAGTTAATGCCACATAGGGAGCCTTGTGTTGCAGAAATTTGGATCTGGGCTCAGACAAAGAAGCAAAGCTTTTCAATCTCATTATAACTGGTATTGGTCAGGTCATACTGGGTCCAGGCAAGAGAGAGGGGCAGTCTCCCTGACTAACTTACATCTACTCAGAGGACATGTACAAGGAGGCTGGGAGAGGGGAGTGGAACAGAGTCAAGGAGAAATTGTCAATAATTTGAAAGCATTCCAAACTTCCTCATTTAGAAACACACATATAAATGTAGTTAATATGTATTTCTGTATTCCATTATAAAAAAGCTTTGAGTATCTTGTCTTCCCATAAATTAAAAAAGCTAAACATCCCTTTTTATTTTCCCTGTCATAAGATGCAGTATTATATTTATATTAATATAAATATATTTATATTACATTATATTTATATTTATGTTATATTTATATTAATAAATGTATTAATTCTCAGTCTGCATGATGGATCATGCAGATTTAAGAAGTAGTCAAAAAATAAGTTTCACAAGCAGTTGTTATTCTTAAATTTTTTCTATAGATTTTGATTCTGTTCCATTTGCTTGAGTTGTTCTTTTTAGGAATGCTTATCAGAGAATTTATACTTTTAATGGTGTGCCTAATAAAAAAGAAAATCTAGGTTGGCAAAAACATATCAAGTTTTGAAAATGACGTAATTTTTGGCTAGGCATGGAGGTATATGCCTGTAATCCCTGTACTCGAGGCAGAGGCAGGAGGATCTTGAGTTTGAGGTGAGCCTGGGCTACACAGTAAGACCCTGTCTCAAAACAAAAAAAAAAAAATCCAAGGAAAAATTATGTAATTTTTAAGTGTGTGTTTTTTGGTTCCCTTATTAAAAATCCAAATTTTAAAAAAATTCCAAGTGATCTTTAAGTGATTTAATAACTTATATCCCTAAATATATTTTATGAAAATCAATTTTACAACATGAGAGATACTATAATTTAAGAAAACCACATTTTTTTCCCCCAGTTGATCACCAGAGAGTAGGATTCTAAGTCTTGGGTAGGATTCTAAGTCATGAAAGATGGAAATGTTGAATATGGTTTGACTTGTACTGTGATGCATTTAGCCATGTACGATTTGCTAATTATTTGCCTTATCTGGAAGCCTCTTGCCCCTTCGTACGAGAACATAAATCAGTTTTTGCACATGTTCCTCTTTGCCATACTCACACATTTGGGAAATGGAAATGGGGAAGTGCTTAAGCTTCTTAGAAAAGCTATAGATGAATGCAAGAGGAACTGCGAAATTAGCAAAACATAACAGGAAGTGTTGATCTGTGTATTATTGCTTTTGCTTATTTTTTCTCCTTTGCTAGGAGACCTGTTCTGATGATGTGTGTAGTGCTCACCACGCTTCCCAGTTTCAGCTTTTCTATAGCAGTGACGGAGGTATGGAATTTTGATTTCTTCTGCTGCAAGATTTTTGAGATTTCAAACGATCTTGTTAGAATTTGAGAGAGCACTGAGCCTAACAGATTCCTTAAAGTTTATTTAATCCAGTCTCCTTCTAAATTGTGTATTATATATCTAAATTATCAAGATCATTGTTACCAGTGTGATTGTAGAGCATTCATTAGTTTTTTTAAAGCATTACTTTTGTGTTTGTGTGAGGCAGGGAATGTTATTTCAAAATCAAAAAGTAAGGAATTTGCAAGTTGATCTTGTCTTGTTTCTTCTACCAACTTGATGTTTTGTTTGATTGTCCTCAGTTCTAAGTGGAATCTGATAAGGCCCTAAAGAACAACCTTTATACTCTAACATCTTAGATAAGATATCCACTGATAAATGTTTTAAGGCACATTGTACCTATTTGAAAATAAGTTTATATTTTGATTAAATAAGGTTTCAAAAGGACTCCAGTGGGTATCCACCGGGCAGGAATATAGCAAGCAAAACTTATAGAATGTTAGAACTTTGTTAGACAAGAAAGTAAAAAACAAGAATTCTCTATGGTTTTACTTTTTTAGATATAGGATCTTTCTCTGTAGTTCAGGTTAGCCTAGAACTCCCCATGTAGCCCAGGCTGACCTAGAATAAGCAATCCTCTTTCCTCTGCATCCTACATTCTGGGATTACAAGATTAATTTACAAGATGTTAGAAAATAGGAAAGCAGGATCTTAGTAGATTTTCAAAAGTTTCTTTCTTTTTTCTTTTTTTATGAGGAACACCACTATTGCAAAATGATGGTATATCTCGAGTTTGACCCTTTTTGGTTATTTTAGATGGTAACTCACTCCTGTTACACATCTTTCTTTTCTCCTTTTCTTAAATTTTTCACTGAAATGTGACACACAAATGAGTGAGTGCACAAACATAAATGCACAATATTTATGTAATATCACAAAGCAAATCCCTGTGCAAACACTACTCAGGTTAAGAAATATGACTTGCCCAACTCCACCCCCATGCTACGTGCTATGACTCCTTTTCCCTCTTCCTCAAAGGTAACTTCTACTTGACTCCTAACACAGAATAGTTTGCCTGTTTTTGAATATTTTATAAGGGCAAGTCAAATTTTACATTCTATTTATATATCTATGAAATGATTTATGATGGGTCATTCATGGATTTGTGTATAGCTGTAGTTCATTCACCCTCATTGCCCTAGACTATTGCGTCTTTTTAAAATACTACAATTTATTTACTTACTTATTTTTTATGTGGTGCTGGAAACCAAACCCTGGACTTTGTACATGCCAAGCATGTGCTCTACCTCTGAGCTACACCCTCAGCCCAATATCCCAATTCATTTATCAGTTCCATTCTTGATGTCCATCCATTTCAGTTGTTTCCAGTTTGGGCTAGTACACATAACAGCCCTGGGAACATGATGGAGCATGTCTCCTGTGCACATATGCATGTATTTAAGTTAGTTAAATACATAGGCATAGAATGGATGAGTCAGAAGATATCCAAGTGTTCAGTTGTAAAAGACAATATCAAACAAATTTCCAAAGACAATGGCCAAATCTCTGTAGTAGAGAACACGCTGGCAGAGAATGTACACTACACTTGCGCCACACATTTGTGTTGTAAATCTTGTTTGAGTTATTCTGGTGGGTATGTATTTTCAAATTTCATTTCCTCAATAATTAGTGAGGCTTAGCATCTTTCCATCTTGCCTATTTTCTTATCTTTAAAAAATTGATTTGTGTTATTTACACACTTCCTTTGTCAGTTACATTTATTGCAATACCTTTATACTCTGTGACTTACCTTCAGACTTTTACTGGTATCTTTTGATGAACAGAAGTTCTCAGTTTAAAAATAGTCTAATGTGCCAAGCTTGGTGGTATAACACCTGTAATCCCAGCACTCAGAAAGCAGAGGCAGGAAGATTGCAAGTTCAAGACCAACCTGGACTGCATAGTGAGACCTTGGCTCTAAAAATCAAGGGCTGGGATGCAGCTCAGTGGTAGGACACTTGCCTAGCATGTGCAAATCCCTGAGCTTGATCCCTAGTACTGCAAAAAAAAAACAGTCCAATGTAGAAATTTCTTTCCTGTATGAATAATGCTTCCAGTTACTTATTTGAGATTTTGTCATACTGTGAATCTGAACCTCAAAGTTCTAAAGATATTCTCACAGCTTATATTTTGGAGTCTGGGTTATTTTCCATTCTCTTTCAGACTCTCAGTCTATCTGGAACTGAGTTTGCTTGTATTGTGCACTTAAGAGTCAAGTTTTATTATTTTCCAATTACTATCCATGGGCTGAGCACCAGTTAGTAAAAAAATCCATCTTTGCATGTTTGTCTGCAGTCTTACATTTGTTGTAAGTCACATGTGCATATAAATGATTTGTGTCTGGACTTCTCTGTCTCATTGCCAAGTTTTCTATCCCTGTGCTTACAAACACCACAGTGTCTTAATTCTTGGAGGTTTATAATAGTTCTAAATAACTAGAAGAATGTATCATCCTATCTTCTTGTTTTCTTCTAGATTTTCTTGACTTTTATATTTCCACATAAATTTTAGAATTGGCTTCTCATTTTCCACAAAAAGTTAAAATGTTGATCAAGCCTGCATTGAATGATATCATTTAAAAAATCTTTTCTACCTCTTGGCCATTGGTGTGTGGAAATAATGCATGAAGGGGGATTTTTTTCCATATACAATTATATGGTCTATGAATAATAATATATTTTTTCTTTCTTTTCAATACTTACACTGTTTATTTCATTTGACTCATTATGCTGGTAAGACCTCCAGTACAGTGTTGAATAGGAATGGTCATGGTTTCTTTGTCTGGTTTCTGAGCTCAGAGAGAAAACTTTCAGTATTTCAAAATTAATGTTATGCTTTTTTTTTTTGGCAGTACTAGAGTTTAAACTTGCAGGTGCTTTACCACTTGAGCCACTCCATCAGCCTTTTTTTGTGTTGGGTATTTTTGTTTGGTATGGGATCTTGCTAACTAATTGCCTGGGCTGGTCTCAAACCATGATCCTCCTGATCTCTGCCTCCAGAGTAGATAGTATTTCAGGCGTGAGCCACCGGTGCTTGGCTAATGTGATCCTTGTCACAGGTTTTTTTGTAGACATCTGTAGCAGATTTAGGAAGAAAGCCCAGCTATGTTTACTTGGACTCTCCTTTCTTGGAACAAGAGTCTTCCAAGACTATATATTGCCACTATGTATCCTCTGGACTCTCAGAAACTGCTTAGTAGTCTTGGTGGAAGGAATTACCCATTTGACTGTTACTGGAAACCTACTATTATGTTTTGTGTGCATTTGCTAAGCTTTGTCTTTAATTGGAAACTCTTCCACTTACATGAATCCTTACTACAGCTTTAAGTGATTCAAAACCTCTTGAAGCTAAAGACCTGAGAAATAGAAAACCAAACTTTAAATTTTATCAGTAAATGTATTTATAATTAAATTAGCACTGCTTGCAGACTATTAAAAGAACTTTGAATTGAAAAAGCACAGTAATTTAATGAGTCTAAATGGTTGTCTGAAAACAGGTTCAGAAGAACTTCAATGTCTCTGCTGACCCACTGCCAGATTCCTTACCTGACCTGCCAGTGTCACTGGTTCTGTTATCCTTGATCTTGGTTGATATTATTGAAAAACTGAGGATATACCCTCTTAGAGGGAGTCAAAAGAGTAAGTATTCTTTTGAATATCAAAAATTTTTTAAATTTGATGTATCTTTCACTTTTCTACTGCTCTGTTATCTGATGACATGTTTAATGATACCTATCTTTTCATAAGGCTACCATTACTGATAGAAGATTAAGAAATTAAGATGTCTAAATGTAACAGTTTTAACCCTGCTTGACAGTTATTCTTATTTCTTTTTTACATTTTGGTAGTAAAGCTAAGAAATACTTAATACCAATGACTGATATTTATGCTAGCTAGAAAATTATCTAAGTAACTGAATATAGATTTACATATTTCTAGGAACTTTCTTAAATCCTTATATTTAGATGAGTTAAAAAAAATCTGAGTCAGGCACGGTAGTACACACCTGAAATCTCAGTGCTTGAGGGGTCAAGGATGGAGAGGGCTGAGTTTGAGGCCAGCTTGGGCTACATAGTGAGATTCTATCTCAAAAACAAACAATAAAAAAGGTGTTTTGTTTGGAATACTTTGCTTTAGGAATTAATATGACTATTGCAGTTGTGTCTTAGGAAATTGCGTATTTCTGATTATGGATTATAAAAAAGCCAAAGATCATACTAATAAAATCAAGATATACCACATTCCTCTAAAGCAATAAATTGAAATTAAACATAGATTAGCCTTTAAAAAGTACTTTGCTAGTTGAATGCTTTATTCAGTCATAAATTCCTTCAACTTTCATTTAATTTCATGTGCTGGTACATGGGTTAATTTGCAATGTTTGTGTGCTATAGTTTCTGTATGGCTAGGATTTTGTTGGGCTGTGCATTTGAAATGGGAAAGGTATGGGAGATGGGTGGGGTGAATGGAGCAGTTGAGTGAGCTGCAGAATGCTTGATGACAGGTACAATGAAGAGAGTCACTCAGTCACTTATGGGTCAACAACCACCTCACTTCCAGTCACTTTCACTCCTCAAATTGAAAGGAAAACTGAGTTGGAGGCCACCAGGAATTCTGAGCCTGTCCTTTTACGCCTTGTTGAAGAACTGTTAGGTTTATCACAGGTGACCAGTAGTTGAGATGGCAACTACAGGGGAAGCATAAATAGAAGGACTGCAGTTCAGGCTATCCTGGGCATAAAGTGAGACCCTATTTCAGAAACAACAAAAGCAAAGACTGGTGGAATGGCTCAAGTACTAGAGTGCCTGCCTATTAAACATGAGGCCCTGACTTCAAACCCTAGCACTATCAAAAAAACCCAACCTTCCCCAAAATCTAGCATTTGCTTGAAATACCTTTGTAATTATTAACGTTACATGCATTTGATCTTTATGCAAACTTGAAATCAAATAGTCTCCTACACTCCTTTTAACTCATGTATAACAATACAAGAAATTATGTGAATTTTAGATACATGAGGGTGTTCTCATTTATCTCCTGGAATTTAACTTAATATGTAAATACGTTAATATATAAATCTCTCTCCTGTTAAAGAAGTCTTTCTATGTCTTTTCTGGCCTTGAACTCACTTTTAACTCAAGCTGCCCTTGAACTTGGGATCCTCCTGTCTCAGTTACCTAAGTGTTGGGATTCCAATCGTGTGCTAACACACCTTGGCAACATACAAATCTTAATAGATAAACCTGAAGCAAAATAAATTGCTCTAAATATGGCATTATTACATGTGGTACCTCAGAATCAAAGAAATAGGATAGGGATGGTTGACGAATAAGGTTTAGAAAATGGGAAAGTGAGTGTGTTCTGTGCTCTGTCCAAACAGCTTGAAATGCATGCATATCTGTTAGCTTGTAGCAGTTTTCACTTCATACTAGATGAAACTAAGGTAATCTAAATGCTTGGATTTATAGACACCCTTGAATTACCCTTACTGTCTTAATTCTAAGCTACAAAGTTTCAATCATTGTGTAGCTTTTCCTTTTCCAAATTTTTAATGAATTTTTTTCTATATATGAAATATGCTGAACCAAAGAATTCTTTCTCTTAACTTCCCATGCCACAGTAGCAAGTGATTACAATGCTACAATTTCTGAGTGCATCATTTCATGTAAATTGAACTTCCATGGGAATATTTTTCTGTTCCATAGATCTCTGATGCATGAAAATTCCATAGACATACATAGTGCCTATTAACACCAATCCCCAGCCACAGGACAAATGACAAGAATACTTGTATAGCTTGAATGTCCTCCACTCTTCCTGGTCTATGGGTACAAATGAGTGCACTTTAGCATTCCCATCTGAAGTTTGCGAGCTGAGTCTCCTTTTAGTGACTGGACCTCCATTTCCTTTTTCTCCACCATCTTGCTCTAGCTTCTTTTAAAAAACCAGATTCAAGGTGAGTCTCTTGTGTTCTTATCATTTGGTTGAGTGTTCCATTGCTCCTGCTTTGCTCTTAGTTGTCATACCCATGCACATACACCTTGTTGTACCTGCTAAAGCCTCTAATCTAAACACCATCTGTCCTGCAGTCACTTGTCTCTGGCATATGAACTGTTGTGCTGCCAGTGCTTTAGATGTATTAACTTTTGTCTGCCAGTTGGAGTATTGACTTCTTTCCACCAAGTTCTACTTGTCTAGAGAGGTCCCAAACACAGTACTAGAAAGACTATTTTCGTTTGAATGCATAGCTTTTTATTCCCAAAATGTACATGTGCTAACAAATTGCCTGATCTCCGAGGATGTTAAGGAATGGCCATTTTTCTCAACTGGAAGCCACCATGTCCTCTCCTAGTGATTCTAGCACAGACAGAGTTCTTTTGAGATGGGGGACTCAGTTTCCCCTTACATCGGGCATAATAGGCATTCTATTGTCTGAACCCCAATCATGGTCATCATTCAGTTTCCTTCCCTGCTATCACCTGATTCCTCATCCCCATCTAAACCAGCACACACACATGAGTGTCCATGGTTAAGGTATGAGGGCTCATTTGCATAGTGTTTGTAGCTCAGCATGGACACCATGTTACAAAGTGCTATAGTACTATGGGGCCACAGGTGACGGACAACTTAATTTTGTCTAAGGTGTCAGAGGTCAGAAAATACTATAGGGGTGATCTGGGACTTGCAGGAGTACACATGGTGAAGAATGCTTTCTACATCAAAGGAAGGCTGGGCCTCCAGGAAGTTAGGTGTGAGTGTGATGAGTGGGCATGTCTGAGAAGTAAACATAACTTTGGTTGGGTTTCAGACCCTGAATCAACAGACTTTCTGCTGGCATGGAAGTTGTCTTAAAACCAACAATGGCTGTTTATCAAAATTGGCATTTTGGAAACCTACAAAACTACTTCAAGAGCTACTAAGTAAAAGGAGGAGAGAAAATCTTGGGGGCGGCAAGTTGGGAAAGTCTCTAGAGGTCCTAATTCCTTCTTCAACCAGATCGATACAATTTTTGGTTGTTTAGGAGTTATTATTTCATCTGGAATAGAAAGTCAGAAAACTGTTAATCTAGGACTTGTTTAGAGTTATGAGCTGTACCTATTGTGGGAAGAGCCTTAAGGGGGGTAGCCAGCACCATTAGAAGCAGAGAGCTGCTGCTGTCTGCCAGTTCAGCCTTCCAGCTAGAGCAGGCCCATCCTGATGGGATTCGTAAAGGTTCCAGGCAACAATACTGATGAAAAACACAACTTTTTCAACATTCCCTTTTATTGGCAGTACTAGGGTTTTAACTCAGGGCCTTGTGATTAAGGGCTCTCCCAATTGAGACACATCTCTAGTCCTTTTTGCTTTATTTATTTTTCAGATAAGATCCCATACTTTTTGTTATGGATAGTCTCTGACAGTGATCCTCCTACTTCTGCTTCCTTACTATGTTGGATTTTTTTTTTTTTTTGGAGACAGTCTTGCTAACTTTTTTTGTTCAGGCTGGCCTTGAACCACAATCCTGTTGTCTCTGCCTTCCAAGTACCTTGGATTACAGGCATGTGTCATCACACCTAGCCCTCAACATTCCATTTTGAAGTGTTTTATTTTTCCAAAACAATACCTATCTATTTGAAAAGGTTGTGAAATAGAAAAACAAAAAGAATATCAACCATAAACCTACAAAATAGAGCGCTATACCTAATAAGATCTTATACATTCTTCAGTTAAGAAAAGTGATTTTTAACCTTTTTTCTTAACAATGTATAATGAGTGTCATTCTTGTTATTCTATCATCTTCTGTGTCATTTTTATTGGTTGAATAATATTCAGTTATATCAATGAATCATGATGTATTTGGCCAATTCTCTATCATTGGACAGCTAGATTTGTTCTGGTTTTTGCTATGCTAAGCACTGCTGTTAGGAAAGAGCATAGCTGGAATGAGTAAGGCAGTATGGGTTTGACTTGGGGAGGGTACAATGACAAGCCATGGGTACAATACCGATGGTGTAGGTGGTCTGTGTTTGAAGGGGCCCTGTGCTGTGTGTGGAAAGTCAGAAGCCACTTGGAGAGGTGACTGGCCAGACAGAGCTTGTGGTGGAGAGAGTTAACTGCAGCTGGACAAGATCTGAATGCTATCAGGATGGTGACTACAGTGTCCTCAGAGGACCCAGAGCATCTGCTCATGCCTGGGCTCCTTGGCAACAATGCTGCCGGGAGAAAGTGACTGTTATGGACTGGCCGCACATATGGAGAAGTACAGAAGGGGTCCTGAGGGGAACAGTACGCTATGGCAAGAGTGATTTGGCTATGATGAAAGCTGTCTGCTTAGCCAGAGACCACTAGCTGGGGATGAGATCAACAGCTATTTGAGTGGAAACCCTCAGTGCTCTGCAAAGGAGGTGGTTTCCACTGTCACGTAGTGAGCAGTGCCAGGTATGAGGCTGGCAGGGTGAGGCTTTCAAATAAATCTGCTCGCAAGGGCCCCGGTCCAATTCCTTCTGTGTAGTCTCCTTAATCCCAGAGACTTGGGCCAAGTGCGACAGAGACTCAGCAGCACAGAGGATAGTTTCTTTAGGTAAAAGGCTAGCTGCAGAGTTCCTGGCTCAGAGTCAAAATAGAAGATTTTAAGGCTGTGGGTGTGAGTAGTCAAATTG